AAATTTCTCGCGACTATGCGTCGGTTTCTTTTTTGTCGGTCGGTTAGACAGAATTTTTCAAACAGTCTGAAGGGTAAAATCGCCTTTTACTGTGAAGTTTTTTTTTTAAACTTAATTTTTTTTTTAATTCATTTAATGGGTCAAAGGTCAATGTCAAATTTTGCTACAGTGGAAGAGCCATTTTCGTGTATTTCCTCTTGTAAATGACTTTTCAGATGGTGCTAGTACTGAAATTTTAAAAAAGAGCGTTACTGTTCTTTTTTTAATTCCATTTAGTGATATTTGTATCAATTTCCCTAGAGGTCTAATCCACATATCTTAAAATCAACTTAATTTTTCATCTTGCATCTAACTAATTTCACACTTATTGATACATGGACACTATCCCAAGCCCTTGCAAAGTGGCGGTGGACGACACCGGCACAGATTAGTCGGTCATCAAGCTTATGTATTGATAGATCACTTTACAAGAGGCTTAGTATAAAGGTTGGAGCTACGTACCATGAGATATGTCATTGAGGACTTGATTTCCAATCTAGTTGGTGAGAAATCTAAGTCCAACTCCAATGGAACTCCTACTTCTATATCTTTACCTATTCCTATCATTACGATTCTGAGTCCGGCTAAGGTGAATGCACATATTCAAAGCGACATGGAAGATATGGGTCTAGGAGATTGCATGGAAAAAACCGAGGCAAAGGACATTTAGAAAGTTTTTAAAAATATATTTTTGGGGTATTATTATTTTTTCAAATTTATCACATTCTGATCCCTCGTCGAGCAATAATAATTTACTTTAAAATTTTGAGATAAAGTTGACCCTTAATTTACGCCATAAGATCGTATCCAACTTACAATTAATCATATTTTTTCACACACCCCATCATAATCAGACAGACCTATATTAAAAACATTTGTTTTTAGTATTCCATAAAAAATAACAAAAAAATAAAGAATTATTTTCAACAATAAATGTCCAACGAAACCACATTTTATACGAGTGTAAAGTGTTAAGAGTCGCAAGATTATTTTCTTTGTGCTGGGTTTAACTCAAATATTTTAATAAAAATTTCTATTATGAAAATGAAAATAGAATCCTTGTTTGACAATAAAAAGAGAGAAAAAAAAGAAGAAGAAGAAGAAGAAGATTAAGGGAAAAATATATTTAGGATGAAATAATATTAGGGAGAAGGAAACTTTTACCGAAGGGACTCGTGGCATTGCACTGAGAATAATTGTATTTGACACTAGCATCAGAAATTGTGAGAGGGAGAAAATTTAGAGAAATGGTACGCCGTGTTAGCAACATATGTTAAGTGCTCTAATTTTGTATAAGACGAAGATGAAAGAGTTAAGAAAGTATCGTATTGTGAGATTTTCTCAGCTAATGGTCTTTTTTTCTCTTATTGCCATCGACGATTCGTCGAACAATATTTAATTTTTGCATTTTTATTTCGTGCAATATTTTTTCCCCAACAAGATGCACAAGTGTAACCCTAGCGATTTAGAACATCTTCAATAGTTGTGTAAATTGGGTGTATATTGGTATTTTCAAAATTACTTTTGCATTCTCATTTACATTCCAATGAATTTAAATTCAAAATTTTCTTCCATGGGATGATTTAAATCCTTTTTTTTTTTTAGCCTCTTGTGGATATAAAAATGCCATTTGTATTCCCTTTGCACCTCTCTATTGGAGGGGTTTTTGACTACTTTGAAAATATAAATCACAATTTAAATCTACTTTTGATTGTCAATATATTTCATGAAAAATGCATTTTTCTACTCAAATGCATACTTTTGTACTGTTTGATTGTCTTTTTTTCATGAAAAATATTGTCTTATTTTTAGTCATGTGACCATATTTTCTTCAAAATCAAGGAAAATATTTTTTTTAAGATGAGTACGATTTTATTTTCTAGGAAATTTACTCTCTCTCTCTCTCTCTCTCTCTCTCTCTCTCATGTATCCACTCTCTTTCATTTATCTATCAATAAAAAAGGAAAAGCACAATATTTTCTAAGTTGAAAATTAAATCAATCAAACACATTTAACTAATAATTTTCATGCAAATAAATTCTAGGCAACTCATACAAATAAATTCTAGGCAATTGAATTACCCATAATTTATTTTTTTCTATGAAAATTTCATGTTTGCAATCAAACGCACCCTTAAAGTCTTGATAAAAATTATTATGTCAAGAAATAATCGCATTTTTCTCAAGAACGTTCTATTGTGTCAAGAGGGTTAGTGGATGTACGAGAATTTTCATAAAGTTATCAATATAATGATGTTGTTTATTGGAAAATGAGTAATGTTATTCATAATCAGCGACTGTAGTTGTCATCCTGTGTTACAGTTTATTATTTGAAATATTAGCTTGTTATTTGAAGTAACAGAATTATAGAAAATTAATATCTCAAATAACAAGTTATCACATAAAATGACTATTGCAATCCATGACTATGAACTGATAGGTTTACACCCCGATGTACATAATTGCCAAGTGACATTTCATCATTGGCGGGTAGAAAAATGGCTTTTTTTTAATTAACTAATGATGAAATGCCATTTGGATATTATGTACATTAGGGTGCAGGGGCGGAACTACGTACACCAGGGAAAGGGTGGTCCATTGAACATTTAAAACATTTTATTTTTTTTAATAAAAAGAATGGAAATCAAAAGGTTATTCATTTCTACCCTATTTTGTACTTATTAACATCTTATTATTTCCACTCTTATTTATGGATGGGAATTAGAGTTTACCTGCTTTAATTCTCATAGTAAAATATTAGATGCTTATTGTATGTGTGTCTGTGTTTTTTCTCTTGAATAAATATCGGGACAATAGGAAAAATCAAGATTTTGTGAACATGTTTATTAAGATAATTCGATTTAACCCTCAATTATTAACGATTTGACAAATATACTAAAGAGCTGAAGGTTGCTATCGTCGAACTATCTTGATGTAGGACATGGTTTTTATCAAATAACACTTGTTGGCTCCATAAAAGTTAAACCTCTTGCCTAAAGTTATATATCTTCCGTCAAATATAGAACAAAACATTGAAATAATTTTAAATTCTAGAACTTGCTCATTGCATTTTTAATCTGCATGTATTTGGTTTATTTCTCTAACTATTTGTCTAGGGAAAGTTTAGGGCTCAGGGAGCAGTGATTAAAGGAATTGGGAATTCAATTTTCATCTTTGGTCTACTTGCAATCTCCAACTACTACTTGGAAGATTTTAATTAGTAGTTTTTTGAAAAGATTTAATAGAACAAATAGGTATCTTGTTTGTTGGAAAACATATATTAAACGAAATTGATAATGTTATATATATGATGTTTCGTTGGGAATAATTATAGTTATACTATTTATAATTATTTTTGCTACATAATTTTTGTCTACCCAAAAAAAATCTTCACTCTGTCACTATCAGGATGTAAACCACGATATACATGTAGAATATACATATATATACGAAAATGATCTCTTAAGCACCGGTGCTTAACTTATGTTGAGCACCAGTGACATGAAACACCATTTAATTGGTGAATTAGGAGATATATATATATATATATATATATATATGTGTGTGTGTGTGTGTGTGTGTGTGTTAAGCAATTGTGACATAATACATGAATTCAATGAATTTGATTGAGATCCAACAATAATATATACATCTATTCAATGATGTGACATATCATTATTGCTCGTAGATTTCCCAGTCCCCCAAGAGTCAAACATTAACTGTGGGTAATCCTTATGCCCATCTATACTTAGCTCTTATTTGATACAATTTAAAATCCAAAATTTTATTTAAGTCAAAGTCTACAATTCATTGTAATCATATATTTTATAGGATTCACAACTTTTCAATCATACATTTCATCATCTTTTATCAAAGTTTACTAAATTTTTTATTTTAATCACCAAAGAGGGACTCAATTAAATGTGTTTAATTGATTTAATTTTCAAATTAGAAAATATTATACTCGTCCACTTTTTAACGGTGGATAAATAAGAGAGAGATGAGGTAAATGAGAGAGAAAGAGAGAAAATTATTTGGAACATAAAAATCTAATTTTCATAAAGAAAATATTTTTCTTGTTTTTAAGGAAAATATAGTCATGTAACCCAAAGTAAGTAAATATTTTTCATGGAAAAAATCAATCAAACAGCACAAAAATATGAATTTAGGTGGAAAAATGATATATTGACAATCAAACGCACACTGTAGAAATGTTTTTTTTTCTTTTCTATATAGAACAAAAATTAATTTGTGTGGGGTAGTATTATAAGCTCATTATGATTTCTAGTTAACATTAAGCATTAATTTTAATCTCACATTCACAATTACTAGTCATTTATTATTCATATATTTTATGAAATCTACTGTACATTACAATTTTATCCAAATAAACACATGTATTAAAAGAAATATTATTTTTAATTCTTGATTTATGATATGATATCATTGCTAACACTCTAATTTGTAATTTTTTTTCATGGCTAATTCTTCAACAATAATTTTTTTAGAAGCTTCTTCTCATTCTCGAATTTGTGATTTTTGCTGTCGTTTGAGCAACTAATGAAATCTAGTTCAAAATTCAAACTATTAACCACTGCCTTTTTTTAATTTTTATTTTTTTATGAACGTGGGTTTTCGGACTAATTTACTCGCACATCGACTAATCTCACGAAACCTGAAGTTTATAGTCGGTTACTCACATCGGTGATCCTGAGAAAACTTGAACTGGTGACCATTGATGAACAAATCTAAAATCTGATCACTGACCTACCCCTCAAAGTCATTAACCACTGTTTCTTCGTCTACTTTTGTTTTTAATTTCACTTTATTTTAAACTTAGAGAGAGAGAGAGAGAGAGAGAGAGAGAGAGAGAGTATTTCATATTTGCATATTATTTTATATTTTTTTCCCTTCATTCTCTAGAATACATAGTTAAAGGCATAATATCATACCAATTTCTTACTACCAAACATATTTTTTCACGAAATTCTGTGGAGGGTAATGACCAGAAAAATAAAATCCATCACTCTGTACTGACCAATAGCACGCATTCTTACAATCAGACAAACTAAAGACGTTACTAAAAACATCAAAAGCTATGTTTTTTTGACCCCACCAAAAATGACAGAAAAACAATGTAACCTCTTCTACATTCTCACAAAAACTCCAATGAAAATCATAATTTAATGGGAGTTGATGGAATCCAAGATTATTGTCCTTTGATGCGCAGTGTATTGTCAATGTTGGAATGTCTCCAGGGAGATTATTAACGACATGAACCTGATATCTTTTACTCAAGAAACAAACGCCTTCCTCTGACGAACTCATTGTGTAGAGAAGGTTAGCGAAGAGAATGAGAGATAAAACAAGTGTTTTCATTGTGGTGTAACTCATTTTGGCTAACAAATACTGTGTAATGTGATGATAAGAAACTAAACATTTATATTGGGCAATAACTTTGCATGACTATTGACTGGAGCAATAAATCTATTATAAGATTATGAGAATGATTTCATTGGATTATAACAATCATATTAATTGAAGAGCTACTCTAGTCGAGTAATGCTATATAGCATTATACAGGAACAATATAATCAAATTATAGTAATCCTACGACGAAATAGTAATGATCCTCTAACTAATTTTAAAGATATTGCTCTTAATTCCGTGAATGATAGCTGAATTATTGATATTAGAGTCACAAATCACATGATATTCTTGCCTTCAACCCCTTCAAATCTTATCTTTAAAATGACAAGTAATTATGCCACGCAAATAACAAAAATATAGTCTCACTTATATTAGTTCTTCGCTCCAACTTAATATCATTTTTCTTGTTCCATAATATTTGATGCTGCATGACATTATACTAGTTATTAATTGCTCTATGTCTTGAGAACTATTTATTTTAGGACTACACCACCAAAAATGACTTAGAAGAATATATGTTGAAAAATCGCTTGACATGGACCATCCGTGAGGCGCCTAAGGTAACCAATACACCCAAACACAGGGGCTCTTAGCTAGCCTTCTATTGACACGAACAACAAGCAAAACATAAGCACGCACAAAAGACGTTAGGTAGAATACCATATCATAAATGCACACACAAGTCATCGGTTGTCAAGGTCTAATCTTGATTTGGATTGTAATGTTTCCTTTTTGAGGAAAAAATGTTACACGTACAGAAAAACTTCCACAAAAATTTCACAAGCTTTCACTTAGCACAATTTCATTGGTAGTTAGGGAAGGGGGAGAAAAAAGGATCTGCATTGCGAAGCTCTTGTAAGAAAAACCAACCTTCAAAAAAAATGTATACCTTTGAGATCGTATATGAGAACTAATTATCTAGAATTATGTATAATTACTTTACTTTTGGAGCTTAGTCATTGTGATATCTGTGAAAGTACTATCATTCCTTAGTAATTTTGGTTTTCACCATACTATGTTTGCCCAATCCTACTTACTTTAAAAGAAAGGATGAAGTTTTACAGTTCATTTTTGGGCCGAAGGTTTCACACTTGGCTAGTTCCACACGGCAACTTGACTAGTTCTAGATTGTTCACTCAAAGAAGCTGTTAATGCTTTCCACTGTTCATTTATATGAAATGAAATTAGTGTAGCTGCTTTATTACTTTCCACTGCCCATTTACCCAAGCCATCTACTGTAGCTATTGCAGATGTTCACTAAATATCTTCGGTATAAAAGTGTCTTTGGCTCTCTCTCACTTCATTCATTCACACCATAGCTATTTCAACCGACTCCTCTGTTTATGTTGTGTTTTTTATATCTCATAAGTGTACGGATCGTAACAAGTAATATACTAGACCAATGAGTCCGAAAATCGTTCTCATAAGGACTATAAATGAGGATTTAATCTAATCTTTCTAAGTTCTGTTTGATGAAGGCAAATAAAGAATTATAAGTTGTTGTGATTATTTTGTTTAAACACTTGAAGTTACTCAAAATGCACACAAAGATTGATTCAGAATTCAACTAATGAAGGAATATTAGGGCAGAATAATTTTACCCATTGATCACCTTTAAGTCTTAATTCAAGATTAAAAAATCTAATGTAGTATTTGATCAAATTCTCTTATTATATTCAATTTATCCCTCTCAACTTCTTATTGAGTCTATTTAACTAATTCAATCCCCATATCTTTATGCGAATCAACCTTAGCTAAACGAGATATTAATTCGAAGAATTCATATAATAACCGCAATAATAAGCATAGGCATCTCTATATGTTATGCTAATTTATCGAATTTTAATATATGATTTAAATTTCAAACGCATCTCTCGATTCGTAAAAAATTTACAAAATTATCAAATTAGTGATCAAGTAATTTGACGCATTAAACTTATAGCAAAAGCAATGCATTTAATATAAAATAACAAGAAGCTTGAATAAAAGAAATAAAGGGTCTCAAGTAGATTACATTGTTCGCCCTAATATAAAAGTTAGTTACTTATAATGCAAAACGAAAAACAAGAAGTTGTTATTGAATACATCACTGGATTTTGAGTAAAGATGTGGAGAAAAAAAAAAAGATCGACCTTGCACCAAAATCTTCTTCCTCTTCCAATCGAGACTTAATTCAAAAACTTGGATTTCTTAATGTTTTTCTCCCTTGATTTGCGATCTTCAATCTCCAATTGTATTCTCTATCTCTCAATGTGTGAAACCCCTTTCAATTGTCTCATTTCTTGTATTTATAGTCGCCTCCATAGCTTTGGCTGTTGTAGGATTTTTATGGGCTCAATATGGATAAAAAAAGAGGAAAAAAAATGCGCCCTAGAGATTATTGGGCGGTGTTGCCACACCTTTGTCACATAAACCTTTTTGGCGTTGGGGTGCTATTCTTGTTTCTCTTGATGTCGTGGTTTGATTCTTTTATCTCTTTTGTTCATTTTTTCTCTTCCATCCATGCCAATAATCATTTTTTTCTCCTTTCTTTCCATGGTTTGCATCATTTCCCCACTTCAACACAATAGCACTAATAAACACATTAAAAATGTTCACTAATAAAATCTAGCCATAATTAAGTTACAAGATGATAATATGTTATTTGCGTACTCTAACTACTATCATTCAAATCTTGGATTTATGGATTGAATTTCACTTTTCTTACATGTGTTCATTTTGATTTTTGAAGAGGGGGAAGACGATGGAGTGTAAGGTGTTGAGTATAAACTGTTGGATAATTAAATACTTTAAATTACCGGATCTTTCATGTTAAATCATCAAGAAATACAAGAATTAAAGCGGAAGCGTACCTGAATCAGACATGGTTAATGCAATATGAATTTTGCGGTATAGTCTTCCAAATCTACACGTAGTCTCCTTTTCCTCTCTGTGATGGGATGCATAGAGAATGAATAATACGTGGGTGTGATCTGTGGACCATAACCTATTTATATAGGGACGCCCTTTGACCTAATTCGGCCCATCATAGAATTAGGACTTGGGCCCGGTCTCTACACATATGTAAACCCATACTTTAATTGGATACATTGAAGCCCAAAACTGAAGCCTTATTAGATCACTTTAATTGGGATCAACCGAATTCGATAGCCTATAATTTAACACACAATTATTCACACATACAAACCCATCTATTGATTAAAAATTCTTACAATCTCCCACTTGGGTTATATGTGTCACCTTATAATTATGCATTAAACATAACCTTATGAGTACTCAGAATTTTGATATCATTACCGAATGTATCCCCAAACAATCCCGTCCATCAATCATATCAACATAGGATCAAAGTGACTTTCGCTACTTTCACGTAGCTAAACCCATCAATGGTCATGTATATCAATATAACCGAATGACAAGGATCAAGCATGGATGTGTAGCATGGAAATTACATATAATGTGATCTGTAACATGTCTATTTCCAACTGGTCCACCTTAATACCTTAGTGAAATCATTTTAAACAAGTTCAGAGATATTTAACCAAATAACTTTATAACTGAAAATAACTTTAACTTTAAACCGTATTCAAAACAACAGTGCATGTGTCTAATATGAAAAGCAAAACTACAAACTCTCACTGAAACTACATATTCTTAAGAGACATTACACCCATATGAGCAGTGTGCTCATGAAAGACCTTGGGTATCAATCCCTTAGTAAGCGGATCCGCAACCATGGAGTTTGTCCCAATATGCTCTATTGACACCTGTCCACTCTGAACTCTTTCTTTAATAGCCAGGAACTTGATCTCTATATGTTTTAACTTCGTCGAGCTCCTGTTGTTATCAGAATACAACACTGCTGATTTATTATCACAAAATATCTTAAGTTGTCTTTCTATATTGTCCATAATGCACAGCCCAGTGACAAAATTATGCAGCCATATTCCATGATTTGATGCTTCATAACACGCTATAAACTTTGCTGCCATGGTGGAAGTAGTTATGAGTGTTTGCTTGGCACTCTTCCATGAAATAACATCTGCAGCAAGCAAGTAAATATAGCCTGAAGTGGATCTCCTACTATCTTGGCATCCCGCAAAATCGAAATCAGAATAACCGATGATCTCCAACTGATCTGATCTCCTGTATGTGAGCATGTAGTCTTTTGTTCTCTGTAAATACCGCATGACCCGTTTGGCTGCTTTCCAATGATCCATTCCCGAGTTACTTAAATATCTCCCTAGCATCCCAACAATGTACGCTATATCCGGACGCGTACAAAGTTGAGCATACATGAGACTCCCTATAGCTGAGGAATAAGGAATCTTCTGCATTTCTTTAATTTCCAAGTCATTTTTAGGGTACTGACTTAAGCTGAACTTGTCTCCTTTAGCCACAGGGGTGTCACATGGTTTACAGTCTTACATGTCATATCTTTTAAGTACCTTTTCAATATAACTCTTTTGTGATAATCCAAGAATACCCTGAGAACGATCTCGGTGTATCTGAATTCCTAATACAAAAGAGGTGTTACCAAGATCTTTCATCTCAAAATTCTTTGCTAGAAATCTCTTGGTTTCGTGCAATAAGCATATATCGTTGTTGGCAAGCAATATGTCATCGACATATAAAACCAGAAAAATATACTTGCTCCCACTGAACTTGTGGTATATACAATCATCGACCAAATTCATCTCAAAACCAAATGAGATGATCACCTGATGAAACTTATAATACCATTGACGAGACGCCTGTTTGAGTCTATAGATGGATTTCGTTAATTTACAAACCATTTGCTTTGCATCGTCCGATACAAAGTTTTCTGGTTGTACCATATAAATTATTTCATCAATGTCACCATTGAGAAACGTTGTCTTAACATCCATCTGATGTAGCTCAAGATCGAAATGCGCTACCAATGTCTTTATAGTCCTGAAAGAGTCTTTCGAAGAAATCAGAGAGAAAGTCTCTTTATAATCGATGCCTTCTTTCTGTGTAAAGCCCTTTGCGACAAGACGAGCCTTATACAATTCTCGTCGTTTAATTTTCGCTTTACACATCGAGTACTTACATGCAAGGTTTCATTATAAGAAGCAATTGTATCAATTGAATAAATATTATCGTAACCTGATAAAGAATCGGAACCAACCAATTTTGAATCATGAAACAAACTAAATTTTCCATTTCCAAATGAACAAGTATAACCAAATTTGTCCAAAACAGAAATAGAAATCAAATTTCGTCTAAAAGACGGTACAATAAATGTCTCAACAAAATCCAAATAAAATCCAGTCTTTAACAATAATCTAAATTTTCCTATTACCTCTACTTCCATTCTTTTGTCATCACCAGCATAGATGTATCTTTCACCATCACTTGGTTTTCGGCAACTCAGGCAACCCTGCATAGACATACTGATGTGCGTTGTTGCACCAGAATCTATCCACCATGTATGTCTAGGTACCGAAGTTAAATTAACCTCAGAACAAACCAAATGAAGAGAAGTACCTTTCTTTACACGCCATGCGTGGTAATTGGTGCAATTCTTCTTCTTATGACCTGCAGCTCCACAGAAGAAACAACTACCTTCAGTTGGTTCCTTATGCTATTTCTTTTGCGGTGTCGTACCCGCTGCTTCCTTATTAATCTTCCTTTTCTTG